AAAGGACTTACTACATCAATTCCCTTTAAATTTGAATAAAAGTACCTAACCAATTAAATCTCTTTTTATTCATAAAAAGTACCTAATTAATTAAATCACGTTTTATTTGAAATAACGTACCTTACTATTTATATCTTTTTACATTTAAATGAAAAAACATAACTTACCAAATCTCTTTCCATTTGAATAACAGTATTTAACTCATCAAATCTCTTTTCGCTTAAATAAAAGTGTTTTATTCATTAAATCACTTTTCATTACAATAAAAGTATTTACCTCATTAAATCTCTTTCTATTAAAATGAAAGTTCTCAATACATTAAATCTCTTTGTTTTGAATAATTGTACCTAAATAATAAATCTCTTTCGATTTAAATGAAAATACTCAAAAAGTTAAATCTCTTTTGCTTTAAATAAGAGAACTAAAATCATCTAATCCCTTTCTGTTTTGATAAAAGTATTGAACTTATAAAATCTCTTTTTATTTGAAAGAAACTACTCAACTTATTATATCTCTGTTATTTAAATTAACGTACTTAATTTATTAAATCTCTTTCTATTTAAATAAAAGTACTGAACTAATTAATCTCTATCTATTGAATTAAAGTACTCAACTTATCTAATCACCTTTTATTTGAGTCATAGTACTCAACTCATTAAATCTATTTCTATAAGAATAAAAGTACTCAAAATATCAAGTCTTTTTCTATTTAAATGAAGGTACTTACCTCATTAAAACACTTTCTGTTGGAATGGAAGTTCTCTCCTAATTGTATATCTATCTATTCGGAAAAAAGTACTAAACTTATCGAATCTCTTTTCATTTAAAGAAATGTACTCAACTAGTCAAATCTCTTTTCATTTGAATTAAAGATCATAACTCATAAAATCACTATCTATGTCAATAAAAGTAATCAACCTATCAAATTTCTTTCTATTTAAATAAAAGTACCTAACTCATTAAATCTCTGTCTATTTAAATAAAAGTACTCAACACACCAAATATCTTTCTATTTAAATA